TTTTTTTTTTTTTCTTTGCCATCATCATATGGAAAACGAGAGGATATGGTCTTTCTGCAAATAATTGTATTAGATTGACTAATGAAATATATTTTTATTAGATTGAGCCTAAAATTAGTTTTTCAATTTCGCTTTCCTTTTCATTTTTTAGTTATTTCTTGTCCCAACTCTTAAGGCGTCTAATAATTTTATAATTCTTTTTCTCTGTCTGTATTGTTTTTAATTAAAATCAATCCATGACACTCTTATATCCATAAATAGAATTTATTCACACACTCTTTCCAGAGTATTTATTTTCAAAACACGTGTCGAAACACTATTTGTAAAATAATCGTGGATGTGTTGATAAGTCATGCACTTCAGTACTATCTCACAATATGGAATTTACGTGGAATAATCATGAAAAAAATGAACTGTCGACACATATATATCTCATGAATATTTACTTTTACAACACGTGTCAATACATTATTTATGAATAATCATGGATGACTCAATAATTAAACTCTATCGTTCGATAGCTCTAAAATAAAATTGTTTCCCAAGTAAGCACACATTTTTCTTTCGGTAAATATGATGAATCGACTCATTTGGATATTACATCACCATTTGTGAAGCTTCAATTCTTACTCTAAGTGAGGAAAACCTAACAAGGTAGGGTAACTTAACTCAGTACTTGAAAACACATTGTGGTAGATTAATTAATGTCGTATCAATTGCTTGAACCCCACATTGTGATTTTGGATTATTTCAACGACAATTGTGAATAAAGGCCCTACACACCAAGACTTAATAAGGGCCTTCTGTTATTGAAGGCCCTTTGTTTTCTTGTGCTGGACACCTTCAGCTGGAGTTAGAAAATTCATTGGCATAATTGCCAAACAATTGTTGAGCCTTTGCAATTTAATTATCTAACTCTTAGCTCAGATACTCTCTCTCTCTCTCTCTCTCTCTCTCTCTCTCTCTCTCTCTCAAAGTGCAACTTATAATATTTTAACTCTAATTATAACTTTATACTAAAATTAAAATACTCTAATTTGAGGAGGGGAAAAAAGTGCAACTAAAATTATTATTTTATTCTCTTTTAATACTGAATCGAGGCGAACAAGCAACGGTAAATTTCATCTCTGCACCCATCGAGTTTTTCACTGTCGAATCAATATAAACTCGTATCAGTATATGTTTATTTGCATGTAATTCAATCTCACTCGATATGTGCTATGCGAGCACATGCAAGTTGAATCTCTAGCCTAGGTTGGTTAAGATGATGAGCTCTAAACACTTTCCTTCTTGGACACATATTTACCACTATTTTTTTTTTATTTTTTTTTTTCAATTTATTATAAGCAAACTTATCTTCACAAGCCACTGTTGAAATAGATAAGCATGGTTTGGTATTCTTCATATGCTCAAATCTATTTTCCCTTTTTTTTTTTCTTTTTTTCTTCTTCCTTGTCACAATGGTGGACAAAGAATTTATTCATTGGCATATATAGTAAGGAAACTAATAAAATTAATTACTTTATATTTTCTTTTTCCATCATTTCATGCAAGAAAATAATTTGTTACAATGATAGCCAAACTAATTTCATTTAAAAAAAAAATATATTTTTATTTTGCTGTCTTGATTGCACACCAATCATCCATCTTTTCTACATTCCTCACCGACAGTGTCAGCATTTGAGTGTAAAACAAAACTTAGATTGGCAAGCCAATCAAACGCATGCATGCCTACAAATTACTATACTATTAGACATTTAATAACGGGATATGCTATGGTCCTGTTACGGTACCATATCGTCGGGTATTTTAACCGTTGAAATAGTGAAAAAAAATAAAAAAATGGCTGGCCCCATATTGATCCTTTATGGTATTTTAACACATGATGTCGAGTCCTTTCCAGGTAAATCAACAAATATTTTATGACTTTCATATGAGTGAATGTGAGAAAAATATCAATCAAATCTTGTAATGATCATTAAAATTGATCATTTTTATTTTTATTTTGTAGACGTGCTGTGTAATTTATTCTCATCCACGGCGGACTATAAGCTACCTTAAAGACCTTTGGACAAAAAGTGATAAAAAAACAAACCATGAAATTTACGCATGGGATATATTATTCCTTTTTTTTTTTTAATTTTAACATTTTGCAAATTAATAACAGCACAAATACAAAATGACATAATTGTCAATACAAATTAATAATGTATCTGTAGTTCAATATATTATAACTTATCTCGTTACGTACCCATTTTTTAACTAGGATTTTAATTTGATGCATTAATTCGGAATTAATCACATATCACTATGGGCACATCCATGTTAAAATCTTATAATCCTTCAACAAAATACTTGTGATTGGACAGAAATAGAAATAAAATAAAATGTAGAGGAGTGATTGGACATTGTTAGAATATTAATTGTCTCACATCGTTTATATATGATAAATAAACCTAATTTATAAACTTAGTGGACTACTTCTCATTTCACCAATTGATTTTGAGATGAAACCTTACTTGAATTGACCTTGTTATCGTGCGCTTTACGTAAGTCTAGTGACTTACTTGAAACGTATAATTACTTGCGAGTGCGCGAAGTGTAGTACGAACGTGGGTAAACAATGTAAAAAGCGGAAGCAATAAACCGAAGATTTTAAAACTCTTCAGGGAAGCGTCCCACTTCCCCTCAGAGCTCTTTCATTGATAGATCAACCATACACATAGCTTGGACTTACAACGACTCGAACTCCCTTCAAGCCTAGCCAACACTACACAGATCCTATCAACTAATTCTCCGGCCACGTCCCGTGGACTTTTAAAAACCTACACTTACTCCCTAAGTGTATAAGCTGAAAAATAGTTTTAGGATGAAACACAAAGAACAAAATAAAACAGCTTCAGTCCTTGAGCTAGTTCGAACTCTCAGACTGAACTGTGTACCACTCAAAAACGGAATACACGAAGCTCAATTATTGCTCTATATATCTTCAAGACTCAGCCGCCACAATGAGAGCTTGCATACGGGTATTTAAAAGAATCTCCTTAGGGTTGGAGTCTTCTATAAGGCATAGGACTCCAACCTTGATTTCCTTCCTTGTTTATAGCATGAGAATATGGTAAGTGAATCTTCTTCTCTCTCTCCTTGATCTCTATATCATACACGCCTCTTCCTTCATTATCTCATCCGATTTCCTACAAATCAAAGTACCATAATAAGATCCAGAATATCTTATTTATGGAATATAAAATAATCGTAATTAAGGCAACAAATAAACAAAGATCTTCCCTGTTTCTGTAGTTCCAGGTGCTTGTTAGAACCTTCGAACTAATGCCAAAATAAATATCTTTCATTACTTCTCATTGGGCTTCATCTGGGCTCACCCTTAAAGTTATTGTATCAATATAAAACCTAATTATTTCAATAAAAGATACAAACTGAAAAAAAAAAAAAAAAGAGTATAAATAAGAAATGATAAAAAAATATTGAATTATATATATTTTTTCTAATGTAGATACATGACATAATAATGCATGATTATCAATAACAAACAACTTGACCAATTATTGATATGAAACTGTAGCTTTCTTTTATTTACATCAACGCTCATTACATTATTTTTTTATGACCACATCAACTGCCCAACTTATATGCTTCATTAGTAGTAGCAACAGTGCGTTGTGTTGGAATTATTACCCCCAAAACTATAAATAGAGGACAAATATAACATTGAATGATACAGTATACATATAATAAAATATGAAATAATTGTCAAATTCTTGTTTATTTTTATTTTTTATTTTTTTTCCTTTCCAAAATTCTTAAATTATGACCTTGTGCTTACATCAAAGTAAAAGCCTAATAAAGGAATTTAATAAAATAAATATATATATAAAAAAAAAATAAAAGATTCGAAATATATTTTCAAGCCTTGACGTGACAGTGGAGATAAGGCCAACAATAGTTTCGCCATAATTCTCATCTGACCAACTAGAAAAAAAGTTTTGACATGACATTCACGCACATAATAATCGAGCTCTTATTATTCAAACTGAAGTTGAAATCGATCAAACACTTATTAAAAGTCGAGTTGTTTAAAGAATTTAACCTTTAACTTTTTAATAAAATTTAACGAGTCGAGTTCGAACTTTATCTAGAGGTGAATAAAATCGAACCGAAACTAATTGTGCAATTCGGTGAGGTTCGGTTTGATTTTTTTTAACATAAAAAAAAAAAAATTCTACTTGATTTCAATTCGATTTTTCTCTATTGTGGTGCAACTATAGTTTTTCATAATTTCGATTTCGGTTTTCTTTGATTTAGTGCAGTTTTGCACCAAAACAAACCAAAATGAATAAAATGCGTTAAAATGTGTTGAGGCGAACCAAGTTCAAGAACATCTCGTTTCGGTTTAATAACACGAACCGAAACAAAAAATTAAAGTAAAATAAAATAATAAGTACTGTATAAAATAAAAAAAAAAAGTAAAAAGAAGTGCCACCAATTGTGCTGTATAAAAACCAGCACACACCAACTATATAAATTCCGGCACCTCTTTTCTCACACTTTTACATTTTCGAGGGGAACAAGCTTTTTTTTCAAAACAAATAGAATAAATTAATAAAAAGGTTAGAAAATAGTGCTAATCAATGGAGAACTACTATTGGCCGGGAGATTACTGCTCCTGGAGCAACAGCCAGGGTGAGGCGGCCGCCGCCCTGCAGTACCATATGTACCACCCGGCCGCCGCCGGAAATCCGTGGGGCCCGCCGTACGGAGGGGCGGCGGCCTCTTCTAGAAGCCACAGCGAGGCCGAGAAGAGGCGGCGGGACAGGATCAATGCCCAGCTCGCCACTCTTCGGAAACTCATCCCCAAGTCCGAGAAGGTAATATTTATAACAATCATTTTTTATTTTTTATTTTTTTCTTCTTAAAGTAAACAAATATTGATGTTTGTACAATTTCATAAAGATGGACAAGGCGGCCCTACTCGGACACGTGGTGGAACACGTGAGGGAACAGGGCAAGATCGCGAAGGAGGTCAGCAAATCCTCAACCGTCCCGGCCGAGACTGATGAGATCACGATCGACCAACTAAACGACGACGTCCAGACATCATCATCGATGGACGGTCGACGCATCTACTTTCGGGCCTCGATTTGTTGCGGTGACCGGCCCAAATTGTTTGCCGAGATCGATGGGGCCGTAAAGGGCTTGGGCCTCACCATACACAAGGCCGACATCACGAGCATAGGTGGTCGGATGAAGAGCAATCTCGTATTGTGCACTAATTATAGCGACGATAGTAATAACAACAATAATAGTAATAATAATAGTGCTGGGAAAAACACGTGCCCCGAGTCAGTGAAACAGTCGATTAAGTTGGCGTTGAGTCGTGTGGTTATATCGGCTGGCTCGTCTGGTTATTCGGCCAGGAGTAAGAGGCAGAGGTTTTTCTATCCGAATTATTGTTGATCGATTTTATTTTTTGAAACAATAAGCAATTTTTTTTTCTTTTTAATTGTACCTTTGTTTTGATTAATAAAAGCTCTAGGAATATACATTGCATCATGCAATTGCGAAATTGGTACCGTAAGTAGCTTTATGATAAGAGCTTGGTTCCAAATTATATATGATAGCGCTTCAATTCATTTCTCCTTTAGTGTAGCTCTTGACGCATGAAATTGGCCCAACAAGCCTTATCTATAAGGCTATTTTAATCAAGCTTGAGGCCCATTAAATGATCATACAGAGTTGATGGCAGGTCCAGTATTGAACAATCAAGCAAGACAGGCCCATTTAATCTTTGATATGATTATCCAATGGTAAAGTTGATAGAGAAATACTACTCATAACACTAACATTGAGTATGACCCACAAAAAATAAAAAATCAATTGAATCCCATTGATTTATTAGCATTTTCCAAGTTGATAACTACTGCAGTCGTAATTTTTCAATATGGTGGGGCCGCAAGCGGTGGCCCAGGAACTATATGACATGGAGATTTGAAGGCCCATATGTGGACCATACGTTATGTAAAACTGGGCCTCAGGCCCAGTCGTGCACATGTGTTGATATCCAGGATTTACGGATTCACGATCCCGACAACAATTATACACCAACAATCCATATATCACTAAAATGGGGCCTCAGGCACAGTCATGCATTTAATTTTATTTCTTTTCATGAAGAAAAGGGGCCAAATCAACCTATTTATTGGGCGGTAGGATTTTTGTTAGTGTATAACAAAAAATATATAAATATATATATACATATATATATATAATAAAGACATTTGGTCGAATAAATATAACATTTACGTCCTACTTTGATAAAAATATATAAATATATATATATAAATATTTTTAATCTAGTGAAAATATATATACGAATTTAACTGTGCGATGAAAAGCAAGTAAAACAAATAAGTTACATGGATTAGGCTTCATTAGGCGCCTTTGTTTCACTAAACCAAATCACTTAATCAAATCTGGTGAATAGTGATTTACATAAATGTACTATTTTCACCGGTGAATAATCCATTGATTTACATAAATGTACTATTTTCACCAGTGAATATTGTAAGAAAAAATTGGTTTTGTACCGATTTAACGATTCTATTTTTCGTAAGTAGAATACTTAGAAAAGTCTCAAAACTTTTTTAAGGTGAATGAGAAATTAATTCTAAGTGTTGTATTTTAATTAATTGAGTTTAAACAACTCAAAAGGTTGTAGGGTTCACAAATATTATATTCTAATAAATGTTTGGATAAACTAAACGAGCCATAAATATGCATTATGTATGCTAGAATTGTAGAGGGGCTCGTTGGGGACAAGTAGGAAAAAACGGAACTCGATTCCGAGTCCGTATGAGCTCGTACGAGCCCGCGGCGCACGGGCGCGCAACTGGCTGCGGAAATCGAAGGGTTGCTACCCTTGGTGACCATAAGGTATCTTTTGGCCACTAGATACATCCGTTCTTGTTCGGGCATGTCCCAAAAGGTGTCTTTTGACACTTAAACCTCTTGGAGGTGTCTCCTTACATCTATAAATACCCACTAACATGAAATCATTCAAGATATAAAATAATTCCATAACTTTTGCATCCTTTTTACAAAGTTCATATTCATCTTGTGTTTTTTGTGTTCTTTCCTATCTTGAGAGTTCCGAAACTTAAGTATTGTTCGCCGAAGGTTTGTGTATTTGAGTTACCACTATACACAAATCAAAAGTCGTTGTATCTTGGAGGCGTTAGCCGTGAACCGTGGGTAATATACGGGGCTATTTCGTCTTAAGGAGAGCGTATCTTACGTGCCTCGACTTTGTTCGTTTTACCAAAATTCCTTCTATTTCTTAAGCCATTTTCTTGAAATTCACATACAAAAACAGAAATTATAAACTACAATCTTACGACGAAATTCTTGTGAGTTCATAAGATGGCAACCGAAGGAAACCAAACAAATGCTCAACCTACCGCTATACCGATGGTAGCTGCTCCTGTCCAAGGCGAGAGACCGTCGAAGTTCAATGGCTCTGATTTCAAGAGGTGGCAACAAAAGATGCTTTTCTACCTCACAACTCTCTCCCTCTCTCGTTTTCTTTCGGAGGACCCTTTGATCGTCCCCGAAAGTGAGACCGACATGCAAAAGCGTACGGCCTCGGATGCTTGGCATCACAATGATTTCTTGTGTAGAAATTATATCCTTAACGGACTAGACGATTCTCTCTATAATGTTTATAGTCCGATTAAGACGGCAAATAAGTTATGGAATTCCTTGGAGATGAAGTACAAGAAGGAAGATGCCGGGATTAAAAAATTTCTCGTCGGCAAATTCCTAAAGTACTTAATGGTGGACACCAAGTCGGTGGTTAGCCAAGTTCAAGAGATTCAAATCATCTTTCACGATTTGTTAGCTGAAGGATTGATTGTGAATGAGGCCTTCCAAGTTGCGGCTATTGTTGAAAAGTTACCACCACTTGGTAAGGACTTCAAAAACTATCTCATGCATAAACGCAAAGAGATGACATTGGAAGACTTGATTGTTCGACTTCGAATTGAGGAAGATAATCGAAAATCTGAAGTAAGGGCCAACCGGAGCGACTTCGAGGCTAAGGCAAACTTGGCCGAGTCAAGCTCTAATAAGAAGCGCAAGAGAACTTCAAAGGGAAAGCAACCTCAAACGAGCACCAAGAATTTCAAAGGGAATTGCTACAATTGTGGTAAATCTGGGCATCTTGCGAAAGATTGTCGTCTCCCGAAGAAGGGTAAAGATAGCGCACATATAGCAGAGGATAAATCTGTTCCCATTGACTTATCTGAGCTCGATCTAACCGTCGTGGTCCAAGAAGTTAACTTGGTTAATAATCCACGAGAATGGTGGGTCGATACGGGAGCAACTCGGCGTATTTGTGCGGATAGATATATGTTCTCGTCTTATACCCCTACCGACGGAAGGAAGCTATTCATGGGCAACTCTTCGACATCAAACGTCGTGGGAACAGGAAAGGTGGTGTTGAAAATGACTTCGGGCAAAGACTTGACGCTAACGGAAGTGTTGCATGTCCCGGACATCCGTAAGAACTTTGTATCCGGTGCTCTTTTGAGCAAAGCCGGTTTTAGATTAGTCTTTGAGGCCGATAAATTTGTAATGACAAAGAATGGTGTCTTCTTAGCGAAAGGGTACCTAGATGAGGGTCTTTTTAAGATGAATGTAATGAATGTTATCCGCCAAGAGGCGAAGAATAAAGAAAGTATTTCTTATTTGCTGGAGTGTACTAATTTATGGCATGATAAATTAGGACATGTGAACTTTAAGACAATTAAAAGGTTGGTGAATTTGGAATTGATACCAAAAGTTAAAATTGATTCACACAACAAGTGCGAAACATGTGTTGAAGCAAAAGTTGCTAAAACACCATTTAAACCGGTGAAGAGAAGCACTAGTCCACTCGAGTTAATTCACACTGACGTATGTGATTTAAAATTTGTGCAAACTCGAGCGGGGATGAAGTATTTCATTACATTCATAGATGATTGTACAAGGTAATGTTATGTTTATCTACTAAAGAGTAGAGACGAGGCATTAGAGGCCTTTAAGACATATAAAAATGAAGTCGAAAATCAACTTAGTCGAAAGATCAAAGCGATTCGAAGTGATAGAGGCGGCGAGTATGTAGCCCCGTTTGAAGTGCTCTGCAAAAAGTCCGGTATTGTTCATCAAACGACGGCTCCGTATTCACCGCAACCTAATGGAGTGGCCGAGAGAAAGAATCGGACACTAAAAGAGATGATGAATGCGCTTTTGATAAGTTCGGGCTTACCCCAAAACTTGTGGGGGTAAGCGGTTCTTTCGGCAAATTATATTTTGAACAAATTACCCCACAAAGGTAACGACAAAACGCCATATGAGTTATGGAAAGGTCATAGACCTACCTACAAATACTTAAAAGTGTGGGGGTGTTTGGCAAAGGTTGAAATACCTAAACCGAAACAAGTAAAAATTGGACCAAAGACTATTGATTGTATATTTATTGGTTATGCAAAAAATAGTAGTGCTTATCGATTTTTGGTGCACAAATCAGAAATTTCGGAGATTCATAATGGAACAATTATTGAGTCTCGAAATGCGGTGTTCTTTGAGAAATTTTTCCTCGTAAAGACAAGGAAGAAATAATTTCAATAAAAAAGACATTTGAAGAGGCCAAGCTACCTCAAGAAATTGAGGATGAGCCAAGGCGTAGTAAGAGAACAAAAGTACCTAAGTCTTTTGGTCCTGAATTTCTAAGTTAGGTGTTAGAAAACGAACCGAGAACCATTCGAGAGGCTTTAACAAGTCCGGATGCTCCTTTTTGGAAAGAAGCTATCAATAGTGAGATTGAATCCATTATGCACAATAATACCTTGGAGTTGGTTGATCTCCCATCTGGTAGCAAACCTTTAGGATGTAAATGGATCCTTAAAAGGAAGTATAAAGCTGATGGAACTATTGATAAATATAAGGCCCGATTGGTTGTAAAAGGGTTTAAGCAAACAGAGGGATATGATTTCTTTGATATGTATTCTCCTGTAACTCGAATCATGTCTATACGTGTTCTCATTGCAATTGCTGCAATGCATGACCTTGAGATTCATCAAATGGATGTGAAAACGGCCTTCTTAAATGGGGACCTCGAGGAGGAAATTTATATGGAACAACCCGAGGGGTTCGTTGTACCTGGAAAAGAGAAAAAAGTGTGTCGCTTGGTTAAGTCTCTTTATGGGCTAAAACAAGCACCTAAGCAATGGCACGAAAAGTTTGACAAAGTGATGTTGTCGAACGGATTTAAAATCAACGAGTTTGACAAATATGTCTATATTAAAGGTAACGTCGATTCATTCGTGATCGTATGCCGTATGTTGATGACATGTTAATCTTGGGAAAAAATAATGGTTTAATTCTTAGTACCAAGAAAATGTTGAAAAATAATTTCGACA